TGGGGGGGGGGGGGACGGAGGCATGGTGGATTTTAATTTTACTACTCCCTTTACATTTTTTTCTTCTTTTTGAGAAGGTACTACTCCCTTTATGTTCCATTTATAGAAGCTTTGAGCTATCCTATAATGCTCATGTCAAACAGAGTGAAAAAAGATGGATGTTAAGTCATTACCTGTTATGCAAAGCCAATATATTATCAGTTTGACATGTTGCAGGGGAATGTAGACGATGGTGGTGAAGAATGTTTGAGTGGTCATTGCAAAACCACAAATTCTGTAAGTGTCAGCAGTATTGAAGCGTCTCTGTCGAAAGTGTCTTTGATTAATGAAAGCCAACAAGGAAAATGTGGTGGCTCCACTGAATTAGAGGTTCGTTTGACGGCTTTAAGTGTGCTATTTGTAAAGTTGACAGTTGAATAAGATTATGCTAAGTGTTAGCTGACTTGTATTTTGTCTTTAGCACAATTCTCCAAGTGCAGCCACTGCTGATAGAAGCTTGGGAGATCTCGGCAAAGGTATTCCTGAAACAACCAAAGAGAGCGCAGAGGGGGTCTTTAATTGCCTGGTGAGTGTTTATTTTGCATTTAGTTCCCATGGAGATCTCCAGCTAGTAAGAGTGGCTACATTTTGCACGCATGTTAGTAACTCTACTTTATCTTTAGCATAATAAACTTGATGCCAGTGCTAATGGATGTCGTGAAGATATCTAAAATTGGATTATAAAAACACTAAAATGGAACTGGGAGGGTTTCAGGGATTGTCTGGTGAAGTTTCTGGACTTGTATCTCTTCTCTTGATTTTTTTTCCCCGGTGGGTATCTCTATATTACTTCTATGCTATGATTATTACGGAGCTGTAATTTCACCCCAGTTGATTGGCTTGTATTTTGTTTTTAGGGGAATACTGTGAGCAAAGACGGTGCTGATGGACTCTTGGAAGATCTCAGCTGTTTAAGTCTCGAAACACTGAAAGTGAATGAAGAGGTTGCATCCAATTGGGTGGTAAGGCTTTGCTTTTACTTCTTAATTGAATGTTCTATGGATATCTCTTACTAGGTTGCTGTACAATGTTTATTTTGATGTTTCTAAGATGATTAATTTGTGGCCTACTCCCTCTGGCCATGATATAAGTCACTATTATATTAAAAGGTAGCACAGCTACCATTTTTGCAATTATTTTCAAAATATGTTTAATTATATAAGGATAATATTTATAGTACTTTTATCTGGTTCAATTTATATGTTTTATTTTGGAATGTCGAAATGCTTGACACTATTTCATTAATAATATTATTTTTAAGAAACTTTCATATGTTTCAAGCATTCAAATCTTTTAGCTTACTTTACCTTATCAATGAAGAGCTCAAATCATTTAACTGATTGAATTCAAACTTGATGTGATATTTTGGTTGTCAAACCAAAATTTCAACTCTTTAATATTTCCTCCACTATTACTTATTTTATACAAGCGAAATTAATATCTTACCCCAGTCAAAAAGTATAGATAAGTTTGGTAGTACTTTTTTTTCTTTCAAAAATAAACAAATAAATAAATCAAGAAATGAATGTCCTAAACCACACTGAAATTTAGTTGTTTTTGACTTGGGATGGAGGGATTGCCTATGTGAGTGTTTCTTCTAGGAACCAAGTATATCTTAAACATTTGAACATGAATATAGCTGCTTGTATTTCTTAAGAAGCTCTCTTTTTTTGATAGGTAATTTTTGAAGTGGTTTCTAAGTTTGAGATTTACGTATAAATGATTTCTCATCACATGAAAAAAGTCAATCACAAACATTAAGTTTAGATCTGATTGTGAATTACTAGAATAAAATGCTTTACGGTTCAATGGAAGTGTCGAGTTTGATAGGTGTAACGGTGTAACCTTGATATAAGTAAAAAGGAAAAAAGTTAATGATCCCTGGAGAGGGGACTGTTGTAGAAATCTTTGACTTGTTAACCAGGCATGCTTGGTTAAAGAATGACCAGGTTTACCTTTATCTATTAAAAAAAAAAAGACTAACCAGGTTTGCAAATGGAGAGGGTAAGATTGGAGGAAGGTGACCTGTGAGTATGCTTGTGAGGAAGAGGGTTAGTTCTCAGACTTGGATAGGTCTAATGGAGAATGAATTGGCAGAATTTGCTAACTGCTGTTTTTGGTGTCTTATTCGCATATTCTTCTTATTTTTACGTGGGTTGCACCCACTAGTCCTCCAACAATGAATTCATCCTAAACTTGTTAAACAATCAAATGTATCTAAGCATACTTTATAAGTCACATCACCCCATCTGACCCACTGTGCCAAAGGAGCTTTCATAAATTTCATAAGCTATATTGAATTTGAAAAGAACGAAAACAAAAATGTCATCATAAGTTTTTTACGTGGTAGATTTTGCATAGTTCATACATCAGGACTTGTGTACTATGTACATGGGGATTGATCGGTGTACTACTCTTCAATCTTTGCCAAATAAGAAAATAATTTTCTGCTGGGAGTTACTTGTTTTTGCATCCTGCTAGTACTTCAATCTTGACCCAACCTCTAGTTTTCTTTTCTCTTTTGGACTTCTAACAAATTATATCCCTTATAATTACTTTCAAACTCAATTATGGTTGAATGTTATCCAGGAACCTTCCAAAGAGTGTCCAGTTGTTGCAAATGAAGAAAAAGAGAGTCAGAAGGATGATGATGTTCATAAATGACAGGAGTTGCTATCCAGAAGACAGGGGATGCAAGGTGGAAAGATTTTAATGTCTCAAGTTGCTGTATGCATTTGAGATCTCTTGTTCTAGGTCATGTGTTAACGTGTAGTTTGCTTGTTTAGTTGCATGTAGTTGGGAGGATAAAGTTTTGTGTTCAGATGTAAAATCTTTCTTCGATGAACGATGAACAACACTTGGTCAATGATCTAGGTGAACCACTTGGTCTAAGGAGACATAATAGTTGATGGAATGACACCCTAGTTGTTTCTCTATCTCGTCCAATTGGCGATGACAACAATGATCTAAATGCGTAAGTGTTAGTGGAGAGCAAGCTGGCTCGGACACCACTATTATCCAGGACGCGTATTTGCGTGTTGCTCTTTAATGGTTTCAGTAGCAAAGTTACAAACAATTTAGTTTTAGCAATATTTTGACATATAATGTGTCTTCTCAAGAAACTTGTATGACAAGATATTAATTTCGGAATCTAAAAGGGAGACAACTCTAGTTCTGGTTTTAAGCTAAAAACCAAAAGAATTTTTGAACTCTGGAAGCGCTGTGAATGATTACAATAGTTGAGGAATCAAACTTTTAATTTATACTAGTGGATAGTCCCTAATTGAATAACCTAAAGTAGTCAACAAGTCTCAATTTGAACTACAATGTCATAAATTTAATTTTCCTTCTCTCTGTTAACGGAGTGTGTAAAAATAGGTTATAGGAACTCCACAGAATCTTCTATTTTGAAGAGAAAGTATGTTGGAAAAAACAAATAGATAAGGTGTATTCGAAAAACGAAAAGTAGAGAAGAAGGTGTATAAAATTACAAAAATAAAAAATAAAAAATGAATAGAGAGAAACCAATTCGGATAGACCAGCAACCAAACATGCCCTAAAGTATCCCTCTATATAAAGGGCCAAGCACAGAGACGGAATATTTTCTAAAGAGCGTAGTAACAAAGCGAAAGAAAAGCAAGGGTCAAGAGAGAGATTTTATCCCGAGAAGAAGAAGAAAAAAAGGATGAGTGGAGGAATAGCACAAGACTGGGAGCCGGTGGTGATCCGCAAGAAGGCGCCTACCGCCGCTGCACGCAAGGATGAGAAAGCCGTCAACGCCGCCCGTCGCTCCGGTGCTGAGATCGAAACCATCCGAAAATGTTCGTATCCTCTTATTCCCAGCTTCTTTTTATCATTCCTACAACGTCATATATAATATTACTTTATTTTTCGATCTTAGCCTTATTAATTTTATAATAACCTTTTCTTCTGTTGCTCATAATATCTGTTGATTTTTCAGTTTTAATTTTTTTCGATAACTTTTTTTTTATCTCGATTCTTATTTATGCTATTCTGTCCTCTCTCCCTCTGTGTGTGTGTGTGTGTGTGTTTTGTGCGCGCGCGTTTTCAATTTTTATTTCTCTCTCTACGGCTCCAATTTTGCTATCTAAATATACGTATATGTGCAAATTCTGTCAGCTAGGGTTTTCATTTTTTAAGTATTAGATTATCACCTGTATGTATATCTTTGATTGATTCTTCTACGTGCCTATATATGCTACTCCAAGCATCTGTTTTTGTTTAATTGAAATTTTGTGGGTAATTATGACCTTAAGGCCTGGTGTAATATCTGCTGTGCTGTGGGGTTCACGTTCATCTGATGCCTAAAGTTGTTCATTTTCATTGAAATCAGTTAGTAGAACGACAGTGAATTGTTTTCTGCTTAAGTTTGTGTGAATGGAAGTCTATTATCATCCTTCCATTGCCAGTGAAAAATTTCCATATTCTTCCCAATATTCATAACTAGGAAAGTTGATTGGAAGTAAAATACTAAACATTGTCTTCCTTTCCTGTCCGTTCCCCTACAAAAACTGGAGGAAGATAGAATTCCAAATTTTTGTGGTCAGCTATATGAACCCTTTGTACTAATGTGCTCTATTTGAGCCCATCCCATTCAGATACTGGATAATATTTGTCTTTAGGGATTCTTCGAAGCTGGAGGTTCTCTACAATTCATATTCATACTTGCACTGGCACACAAATCTGTATTAAACTAAAACAATTCTTGGCAAAAACGAGATCGGATGTAAATGTTGCAATACTACGCCTTAATCTCAACTAAGTGATATTGTCTGTATTGAATTTTTCTCATCCCAATTCCCATGTGTTTTGTTTTGATAAGTCGCATGGATTTGGGTAGATTTTAGGTCCTTTGAGACGACTTCCATTTTGGAACTATCAATCATCATTAGCATTGTATCATGAAACCTGAACTTTTTTCTAATCTTCAGTGAAACTGGGAGTCTTTAGTTTATTTGATGGGGATGAGATGACTGATGGCACCTATCTAACATTTGGTCATTCTTGATTTACATTCACAAATACTCTCAAACGCTTTATTGTTAGTGTGTAAATTTCTACAAATATGAGGTCCTTGGATGGAAATAGGATGAACTCAATAGAGTATTCTCTTTTTGTAGTACCTTTTTTCCCCCTTTCCATCAGTTGGTTTGTGGATTAAATCTTCCTTTCCTTTTTTTTTCAATTTCTATGTTGCCTATTTTTCTTTTGGTTAACTTGTGTATATTTTATTGAGTGCTAATCTGTACTTACAACATCTATCTTCTGTTGCAGCTGCTGCTGGCACAAACAAAGCTGCCTCCAGTAGTACGACCTTGAACACCAGGAAACTTGATGAAGATACTGAGAATTTGGCTCGTAAGTTAAAGCAACACTTTTTATCATTTAATAATGCTTGCTTCCAGTTGTTCTTTTGAAGTGTCTCGTTGCTGGGGGTACTTTGTTTCATATGTGATCTCTCTTTTCTCTTTAAATGTTCTCTTTCTTTCGCTCTGAGGAATCTCCTGCTACTTTATGACCTGGTTTTGTTGTTTGAGCTGTTTTGACTCCTGTCTCTACTTCCACTCTTTTATGTATGCTTTTCATTAATAGTGGTATTTTGTACCAGCACAAACTTATTCTTTCCTATGATAATATCCGCATGTAATTTTTCATTTTTGGCCTTGTTATCAGATCAAAAGGTACCAACTGAACTGAAGAAAGCCATCATGCAAGCTCGACAAGATAAGAAGCTGACCCAGGCTCAACTTGCCCAGGTATGAACACCATTCTGTCTCACCCTCCCCAACCGACCCCCAAAAACTGAAAAAGGAAGTAGGAAAGGGAAAAAATGAAAAGATTGACTGTACCAGGTGTGTGATTCCACAATCTGTATGAAAATGGGTCTGATACTTCTTGTTGTTTTGCAGTTGATAAATGAGAAGCCTCAAATCATCCAGGAGTATGAGTCTGGAAAGGCGATTCCAAATCAACAGATAATCTCTAAACTGGAGAGAGCTCTTGGTGCGAAACTTAGAGGAAAGAAATGAAGTGCCTTTTGGGTTTCTCAAATCTCCGTTCCAGTCCTAAAAGTGGTCATGTACATGAACATCTTCCTATGTTAGCCCTCTTTCTGTAACCACTTCGGTGCTTGTGCCTGTGTATGGATTGATGGTTGTGGATTTCCTGGCTAAACGGGTGTTAGTAATATGGAAAATAAAGGCGTATATGCTTAAGCAAGTGGTGTTATCTTGTGTTTCCTGTTTGCTTTAGAGATTGTTCTCAGTTATCATTGTGGTATGATGACCCTGTTGTTCTTCAGAACTTCTTTACTTAGATATATAATGGGGCACGTAACAGGCACATGGGAATATGCAAAGTATATCCATTTGCAATGGAATATAATTTGATGCTATTGAAGTGTTACTTTCTCTATTAAAAAATAATTGGCATATGGGAATGATTTTGTCTGAGCATTGTTTCCCCTCGTAGTAGAAATCCACACAAAAAAAGAAAAAGAAAAAGAAAAGAATCACGCCGGGAGTCTTTTCAGGTACTAGCACTGGTTTACTTGCGAAAGGTGACCCTGTTTCTGTGATCATATTTGATTTTCCTTGTGAGTTGTGACAGTCGGATGCGCCCTACCTAAAATTATTAGGAATAGATTAAAAATCTGCAGAGCCTGAATGCCGTCAGTTACAGATTAGTGGTGGGCATGAATAGGTCTATAAGTATTAGTGCCGCACTAAAACTTTTGCCTGCATGTGTAAAAATTCGTATGCTAGAAAAGACCCTGTGGCATGGAATTGGGAAAAAGAAATTAATGCCGTGAAAGGCTACACTTTAAAGTTTCATATTCTGTTCGTATCTGTTGCAGCATGGTCTATCTGAGTCTCCCCAAGACGTGGCCGCTTCCTTCGCTTTCACTGTACCCACAAAGTCAAAACAGAGTGATCTCTCATCACGAGAAAAACACAAATGCTTTGTCTTTAGTGCAAGTATTGATGAGTGAGTTATATTAGTGACTAGCAGTAGCAGAAGATTCCAAAAAATAAAAGGACTCTACTTCAGCTTCTTCTAAATCTTCTAGTTGCGGAGTTGTGTGGTTAATTGGAGTTACATTGATTTTAGTGTGTCTGTTTTTTTGTTCGTATCTGTTGCATCACTTCAGACTATAATTTGTTTGAAGTTTGTCTGCCTCAGACTAATGTCTCCGAAGTTTACACTACGACGGAAGAATTTCAGACTTGATTGTCTAAAGTTTGCACTTGGACGGAATAACTTCAGACTCGAGTTTTCTAAAGCTTACACTATGATGGACCCACACCGAAATTTGTAACTTCAAAATAATCCATCCTAAGTTTGCATTACCAAAAAAGAACATAAGACCCGATTATTTGGAGATTACACTTCGACAACCCCAGACGCCAATTTTCGAAACCTAAGACGTGTATGTCTAAAATGTGTTTCAAAGGGGGTAATTTGCAAATTTTTGTGCAATGTGTATATGACTTTAATGATAACCCCAAAATCGAGTACATTTGCTTAAGCCTCAGAAACGTCCAAAAGTAGGCTACACGTGAAAAGCTCGAACTCCTTTTAGGCGGCCGCCAGCAATCTTTTTGTTAATAATTCAGCGAATTATGATCAGAGTGAGAAGTGGAAGAAGAATTCAGTTAAATATGAAGAGTGAGTTTCCACAGATTAAAAGAAACAATTTAATGTGAAGACGAATGAGTTTCGAGGAATTGGCATTAGTAGATAGAAACACCGGTATGAATGATCGAGCTTTTGTTACAGTATGTTGGGATTCGCATGAAAGTTAGATTACACTAACATCGTCACACATCTACTACATTATAAAACTAAGAGCTCGTATGGATTAACTTAAAAAAAAAAAGTAGCTTTTAAGCACAAGTGCTTAAAAACACTTTTT